TTGTTTGGGTTCTGACTGCAGTCCTTGTGGGAAACTGTAACCCCCAAATTCTTTACAGTTAACACACTTAAAATTTTTTGGGTGTCAAGGCCTACTGTGCATTCTCTGTGGAATGTTTCCCAGCACACTTAAACCCCACCAAGATGTAGTAATTCCCAGTCTACTGCAACATGGCCATAGTGCTGGCATTGTAACACCTACGTTTAGGGGCTAGGTACACTTCGATGTTTAGGAAACGTAAACCATGCACCCCGATATTCCGGGGGAGGGGCACAGGACCCACCAACTGGCAATAATTTGGGATTTTCCTTTAAGTCCCTTTTTGGATTGATGATATGCTCACTGAGAGTCAGATGGGATGGGTCCATGTAGAGAGGGTATCCAAAGATTATGATACTGTCCCATTTTTTAAAGTGGTGAGTGTCTGATGAAAATCGGACAGCTTAATACACCCATAAGGTGTACTAAGTAGTCACTGATCAGTTCTTCGTTCTGTTCCACAAACACAAAGTTGTGTGTGTTTTTCCTAAATTGGGGTCCTTGAGTTAGGATGCTTGTTTACAGCTTCCATTTGCCATGCACCACTTAGCAGGCAGCGGGGTTGTTGTCAGGGAAGTTCAGCTTAACACATTTCCTTTGAAGAAAGACTTCTTGCAGCTCTGTGCACCAAGGACGTTTAGTGTCACATTGTGTACGAGTCAAGTGAGTCTGACTACGTCGACGCTCTAGCCCTTTCTCACTTTTTCTCTTTTGTTTACTTCTAAAGGTCTGGAAGCTATCATCATTTCCATCACCTGCTGAAAAAAGGTTTCCCCTATGACAGTTGCCATGTTTGCCAGTGATGATATCTGGTGTAAGACTCACAACACAAGAATTCCTCGCTTATATTTCCCTTATAGCTTATGCAAGAGTAAATATTTACTATAAAGTCAGAAGTCTAAAATAGATCATATGACACAAGTGTTCAAGTTCAATGAACACTTCCAATTATACTTAACCCAGATTACTTTCTACTTAATATGATACACACCTTACTAAAAAAACATTCAGAGACTTCTTGTATTTGTGTTAATAATATGGTACATATAAATGATATAATGGATGGACAGGCGAGGTCTTACACCTTATCACAAATTACAAAGATGAAAAGAGAGAGAGAGAGAGAGAGAGAGAGAGGGGAGAGAAGAGGGAGAGAGAGAGGGGAGAGAGGAGAGGGGAGAGAGAGATGAGGGGAGAGAGAGAGAGAAGAGAGAGAAGAGAGAGAGAGAAAGTAGGTAAAAATTGAGCATAAAATAAAAATTCCCGAGTACATCACATTAAAACAAAGTTCAAAATTCAATGAAAAACTTCCACCTTGAGTCAGTTCAGGGGTACTGCCACCCAATGTTCTTCACTTAATAATAATATAGCGGACATCACATGAATGCTGAAGACACCTCTTACCCCAACCCATAGACTGTAACAATATTACTAAAAAAAATAAAAAAAAAATAAAAAATAAAATAACTAGGTAATTTACAATGAGAAATGAGATAAAACACTATGGTCGACTTCCTTGGTCCATCCGGTAACTCACACGTTACTATATATGTTATGTATGTATGCAAGCGTAAGTGTGCAGCTGTAGATAGATGAACCAGTACCTAAACAATCTACACACGCGTTAATATGTATGACAAGTGTTACCAAGTGTACACTTTATCATTAGAATACACTTTTGTTGATGTAAAATAGGTGAGAGTGGTACACCGCTGGTCTAATAAACACTCTCAACTTCTCAAGGTTACACACTAGGCCCGCTCTGGAGTTACCAGTGTTTCAGCTTAATATTGTTATTATGTGTCAGTGCGAGTCTGCAGTCATTAACTTGGTGTGTCAGAAGTTAAACACTACAATCCGGTTGATCAAATAGTCTAAAACAATTTACACAATGTATAACTAGAAGTTAATGATTGCAATTGCTACTATTACAATTTTAACTAGGCGCTAGACCCACTAGATGAGATGGTAAGGAACATAGATGTTAACAAGCTGACTCTTGCTTAACACAGTTTAAAGGTAACCGAATTACTCAAAGAGAGAAAGTATTCATTTAAATGAACATTATGCAGGAGTAAGCTTTTTCACAGTAAAAATACAAAGCTAAAGTTACACACTCACACCACAGATGAACACTGCAATTTGAAATATTACTGGGAATTTAGCAGTAAAGTTTCAGTCTGAACGAGAAAATGTATTAAAAACACAGCAATGACACTAGGGCAAGCAACTTAATTATGTAACCGTATTTAAATAGTTCAGTTACAGTGAGCAAGCATGTATTACACTGATTTATCAAATGTAAGGAGTCGCTACACTGAAGTACACTCTGAGCCTTTTAAAGTCTTAATACAGGCTTACAAATGACAATTAACTGTTGTGGAAAACGCACTTAACACTTCTACACACGTATGACAGACGAATGTTCACTCTGTGTACAAGCAAATCACCACAAACTTACTATGTTTATAGGTGAACCCTGGCATGTCCCACTTAAAAAGTCAGTACTGCAATGCTCGTTAAATTGTTCTTAACTAAGCCACTACAGGAAACACTGGTATGCCAGCAGCACTGTAGAACGTAGACGTAGACATGCTGGCTTAGGGGCAGCTGTAACTGTAGACTGCCTTTGCTTTTTTCTGGCTAGCTTGGGATGCTGCTTTCAAGCTTGCTTGAATGTCTTGCTAAGCCCGTGTCAACCACCTGGATATTTGCTTGTAGCAGGGAGGTAGGGACCAGGAGACACATTTGTAAGATGATGGAGTGCGGCACAGAGGACTGACACGGGCACTCAAGTACTTATGTGGTCTGACAAAAACCACCTCTAGACCATAAGTAAATAGAGGCGAATGGCTGATTCCAAATCGAGGAAGGAGGGGAGGCGGCGAGGCAGAGTTTAAGGTAGGCCTCCTACAGCCACTTCAAATCAACACGTTTGTGTTTCACTACGTATATCACTAGTCACAGTTCACACATAAGAGTTCACTAGACACAGGCAATATGGGTGTAGTGGCCTGCGGGTCCGCAAATGCCATTTTCAAGGTTATTCACTGGGCCCAAAGTTGTCTCGAGAGTTACCAACACTGTACTACTCGTTAATTACTACAAACCCGCAGCACTTAACACATCTAGCACATGTGTCTTGGAATGACAGACAAATTTTCACTCTGTGGACAAACAAATCAGCACAAACTTACTATGTTTATAGATGAACCTCTGGCATGTTACAGTTAAAAAGCCGTCTCCGAAAGGAGTTACCAGGTACTGCAGTGCTCATTAAATTGTTCTTAACTACTCTTGTTTTGTTTCCAACTATGCAGCATTCCTCCCAGAAACACTCAGTGCATAGAAGAATAAAAGGTCATCTTCCTCAGAGATATAACACATTTTGTACAAGCGGTAAAGTCAGGTCTGGATCACCAACTCACGCAGGATGGGAGATTCGTCCGTATTTCTCAGGTAGGCAGAGGTGACTAGCTGTGCGGAACTCAGATATTCGAGTACCAGCGGAGCAGCAAAATACGCCTCTACACTGCACGTTGATAGAGGTGAACGGCTGAGTTTAAAGGCAGAGAGTTGGGGATACAGGAGAACAGCAGGGGTAACTGAGCACGCACATTCGCCTCTCTTCACATAGTCAATATGGGCGAAAGTCTCAGGCAGGTGATGCAGTGCCTCGCTCGAGGTCACTGGCTGAGGCATACTTCTCAAGAGTTACCAAACACTGCAATACTCGTACAAATAGTTACTCACTCCAAACTTGCAGAACTTCTAGCACACGTGTCTTGGAGTGAAAGACGAATTTTCAGTGTGTGTGCACACCTGGGTTACCAACTCATGTAGGACTGCACACTCGTCGTTATTCCTTAGGTTGGTAAAGGGATGAGTTGTGTGCATTTTCAGAAGCACGAGTAGCAGTGGACTAGCAAAATTCGCCTCTACACTGTATGTTGATAGAGGCGAAAGGTTGAGGTAAAATGAAAGGCAGAGGGGAAGCAGAGGCCTGTGAGGGCCTTTTCAAAAAGGAAAACTATTTCCAGTGTTTCACTAGGTATATCCCTAGTCACAACTCGCACATAAGAGTTCTCACAACACTGAAGCTGTCTTCCAACAGTATAAGTTTTAATGATGACTTTTCAGTCGGGAGAAATGGGTAGGCCTGCAAATTAGTAGGTCCAGATCTCTAGCACACGTCTTCTCCCCTCAACCACTCAGCCGAGACTGAGAATTGCCGAGCCGCTGGAAATTAATTAAAATTTTGGAACTGCCGAATCGCTGGAAATTCAGGAAATTTTTGGTCTTGCCGGGTCGCTGGAAATTAAGGAAAATTTTGTGATCATGAAAGTGTTCATGTGAGTATTGAATTAATACAAGTGTTCCTGTGAGTGCTGAATTAATACACGATTAAGACTGCTGTGTCGGGGATGCCTGGCACAGCTGTTTTTTGTGAGGATTTAAGAAACCGTAGGTCAGACGGTGCGAGATAATTGAACACACACACGATACCATGAGGTTATGATCGACTGCCTCGTATATCTTGACGTATTTGTGTCACAGACGAAGGAGCGCATTTAACATTTTGCTAATTGTCCATGTACAGCGGGGAAAGTGAATGGATAGATGTTAATTGATGTACTGTACTTGCTTGACAATTTTCTGTTCCATTAATAAATTCTTGTCTGACACAGCATCATCTTCAAATCTTGGCACAGAGAATTCTTCTAAAACACTTGCCTAACCTATTAACTTGACCTACTTCTACTACTGGGACGCCGTCTCCAAGTGCTTCACCTCACAAGTCTCCATTCTCGTGTATCTGTTTAAGATTTATAAAGTCTGAAGGAACGAACATCTATCAAGACTGACTAATTACTTCATATTACTTCACGTCAGCCACAATTTATTCTCTGCTCCTGATTAAAGTGCTGTTGGGTGGCGAAACGTCAACATGGTCAACATACCCAAGTGTTGCACATGTTTCTTCTTTATTCTCTTGCTGATTTTGAATGTCATTAATATAACTAGATGCATTTCGGTCACTGTGTGATCCGAGAAGGGTAGCCCCATACTGCATAACCCCAGTCCCCTGTACGCCAGTGTACCCGGAAAAATTGTAGCACAGTGTTTTTCGTAGGTTTATAACGCAAATTAGTATTAGCGTTGAAGATTTGAAGCGAATCAGATTTGGTATTCACGAGATACCACAAGATCACATTCGGAACTGTGTTCCAATTCCTTGAAACTAGCCTGAATGCCTTCCAATCCTCCAGGTGCTACATAATCCCAAATTGGTTTACCGCGCCCCATTAACGTAATATTAATCACGTGGACAATAATATCCCAATTTCTTCAATAAATATTGCAAACTGGGACATACACAATCCTTCACTAATTCAACCATTCAATAACAACACCAGCTTTGAAGGCAAGATAGAGATCATGTTCTTGGTACCTCAGAGAGCTAGTATCCTAAAATACACCCGCATATTAAATTTTAAAACGCGCAA